CATTTACAAGTTGCCATCACGCTGGCAAGAAGTCATAAGTAACGATGGAAAGTATATTCTACAATAAATATTATTAAAGGTATGAAAATTGTGTTATATTTCAATTGAAAAACGGACAGAACTTTCCGGTAGACCTAATACAATAACGCCAACGAAACTTGCATGCGGAGATAGATACCTGTTGCGGTAGAATCCAAAATATATCGTAGTGCTCGAGACCAATCGGAACGTTTATGGTACACTTTAGATACAGTGATTCGCCCTTTATCACATGAGGCATTGTATTATTGATAATTGGTTTGGGCAGTGTATACGTGCCTAAATGAACAAAATCGTAGGTTGCTAAAAGCCTGTAGAAAGCCTTCGTGAAAAAGAAACCTTTTTTTAAATCTATCGTGAGAAAAGTGTAGGTCTCTTGTTCAATGATTTTCATCAATAAATCGATTCCTTCTGTCTCAGTTTCCTTGTTAGATTAATAAAGCTATTTTCTTTCTTCCATAACTTTACTAGGATGAAAATAACGAAAACGATTGTAGAATAGTAAAAGAGCGTCTTCCACATGGAAATCTTGTGAAGAAGGTTTCGTAAAGGTGCACTGTGAGATGAACAACGTACAACAGGTGTACTCACCCCGCAGATATACGACATAAGAAACCTCTTGATTAGGATCGATATAGCACATGTACTCCCCGACTTTAACGTCGTCGAAATTGGGCAGCGTGAATCCAAATTTTGGATCGAAAGTAGTTGGGTAGATTGGAATGTTACCAAACTGCACAATTTATAATAAATAAATGACTCCTCCCACATTGACTGTACATACATATTATCAAATCGTGAAGCCTACGCAATTGTGCCGGAACAAAGAATTATTTGTCTTTGTCCATGACTAGAACAAACCAGAGCCAATCTTTTTCTTGACACATATAAAATATCGTTCTTGTAAATCTTTCGAATTTTCCATGTAAGCTCGTGGAAATGGAGTGACGAATTGCTTGCCTTTGATTTGTTTTCTGGCATAATTTACTGGATATTTATCAAATAAGACATATTACATTTTTTTATTCGAAAATACACATAATCAAAGAATAAAAATATTTAATATATCTTATTTGACACATACAGGGTGTGCCAAAATTATTGTACAAGCGAGAAAGCTGTTCCTGAGGTCATTTGAAATAACTTTCTCCTGAGCGACAATTCAATTCGCGGCTTCGTTTCCGAGTTATTAACAAAAAACAGTGACTAATCAGAGGCGAGCACAGCTATCGCGAGGTGGCCCAGCCAACGAACGGTCGAAGCCTAATTCCGTTCGTTGGCTCGGTCCCCTCGCGCCAGCTAATCTCGCCTCTTTTCGGTAATAATTCGCCGTTTTTCGGTAATAACTCGTAAACGAAGCCGCGGATTACATTTTTGCTAAAGAAGAAGTTATTCCAAATGATCTGAGAAACTCCTATTCCCAGATTGCGAAACTTTTTTGGAATACCTTGTATGTATCGAATAAGACATATTAAGTATTCTTATTCGTTTATTTTGTGTATTTGTATAATAATTTTGAGACGCCCTGTATAGAGCTAATTATGCAGGAATACAAACCAAAGCCACAGTAATTGGTCACCTGACAGTATACTGCTGCTCAATTATTCAAGTTTATAAGAAATCGTAGGAAATTTAGTAATGTCTGCCAATCGTATACTGTTCTTGTACTTAATCTGATGGAAGTATTGGGTTGGCAACTAAGTAATTGCCGATTTGTTCAATGAAATAAAATATTCTTTTTTCCTTGGAATGAAGTTTAATCTGTAATGTATTTTCCATTTTGTTCGATGACCTTTTGCCATCTCTCTGACAACTTGAAAATTCCACGCTCGTAGAAAGTCTGATCCTTTTCGGCCAAAAACTGAGTTAAGTGAGATTTTACAGCGTCATCATCGTTAAAAGTTTTACCACGAAGGGAGTTGTCCAGGGATCGAAATAAGTGGTAATCCGATG